CTGACAAAGAAGATTAATCAGAACTGGCTTTGACAAGCACTGTGGCATTTGGACAAGAACAAACTGGGAGGAGGGTAGAGAGAATAGTGCAACAAGGAATGAATGGAAACCCAAAATCTCTGTAAATGTTTATGAAAATTAATAAAATATAGGAAAAAAAAGTGTCTTCATTCTATAACTCAGTCTCTTTTTTTTTTACGTCCCAGTTTCTACTTATAGCAGCAAGATATGAAAAAGAAAATGTTAGGATTTTAAAATGAAAATTAATTCAGTAAAACTAAATAGAGAAATGCAAGTATAAGTGACAAACAGATTGGCCATTTAATAATTTAACACAAAACAGTGAATGCTTATGAGATAGGAACTTCCTCAGAAAGGAGAAAGCATGAGAAAATTTTTTTCAAGGCAAAGGAAATGTTCTATATATTTACTGGACTCTTGTTTTCATCAGTGTATCTGTTTCAAAACTACTTAAATTATAAATTTACTATCTACCTTACACATAAATTCAGCTTCAATTCCAAAAATAATCTAAAAACTGATTAACTAAAAAATATTTCCACTATCACCATTTAACAAACTACTCAAAAACGTACTAATTTGAAACACTTTTTTACTTTACATAGTTCTGACTGGCTAGGCTCAAGTGAGAATTTCTACCAGTCTTGCTTGGGATCTCAAATGTAGTGGAAATCAGATGGACAAATTTAAATGAGTAGGCTCTCTTAAGTGGCCACAGGGTCTTTCTTCTTTCTGTGGCCTTTCCACGTGGTTTTGCCAGCAAAGTATCTGGACTATCTGGTTACATGACAGCTCAGAGTTCTAACAAAGCAGATGGAAGCAGCTTAGAACTCATACACTATCACTGCTATCTTGTTCTATGTAGTGGGAAGCACAGCCCAGCTCCAATCAATGGGCAGAAGAAAGACAGCACAGGAGCCGTTCACTTTGGAGATTAGCTACCAGAGATAGACTCTTACAAAGAAACTAGAGTTAGTAAGCTAGAAATTTGAAAATTACAAATTAGGCCTTAAAACACAGTGACAAAACAAAAAATGATTAAGGTTATAATGAGAGATAAGAAACATTCAGAAAAAGGGTGTTTTATTTGTTAATTAAAAAGAAAAGAAAGTTGCTATAGGGCATACATTTGTGGAAAAAAGCAAAAATTAAAGACTTTCTAGAAGGTATGGCACAATGTCTTTAACATAAAACTGTTAAATGCCACATCGCTTCTAGCTCCTGCTTCAGCATACAACATGTACAGATATGTATAATTTAAAGACAATTTCAAACAACTGCCAGTGACTTAAGGGGAATAGATGACCCAGAGTTTCAAATATTTCTTCTGATCGATATAATTTTTAAATCATGATACTTACTATACTTCATGTTGTTCCAAGCAGATATAAATTTTGTCTTTAGCTTGTCAACTTCATCAGTTCCTGTAGCTTCCATATTCAAATTCTAAAGAAAAAGCCATCACTTGGGTACATCCTTTGGTAGAGTTTAAACCATTATACTGATGGAAAGGGAAAAAATTATATATAAATCATGAGTATATATTACATATTGCTCTACATTTAAAGTTATTTTAAGTGATAGTTACAATTTTAATTAAGAGATGAGCAAACTAATTTGCATTTTACAAAAAGAAATAAAAACATTCAATAATAAATACAAGAACATTATCATATAACCCCAAACAAGAGTCTCACTTAATTGCTCACAGCTGAATATAATAAATCAGTTGAGAAACGTAGCTCAGTTTTGGGGGCTTCAAGTATATAGTATTATTTATAAATGCTGAAAAATTTTTAAATAGGTTTCCTTTCTATTAAATAAATCATAATGTAAATATTTTTATTTTTTTAAAAAATCCAGGTATTTCCCATTTTTATTTCAAATACTACAATATTCTGTTGTTGTTAGGTGCTGTTCAAGTTCAGTACAACTCACAAACACCTTGTGAACAACAGACCTGAACTCTTCCCTAGTCTGTGCCATCCTCATCATCTCGGATACACTTGAGCCCACTGATGCAGTAAACTATGTCAATCCATCTCATTGGGGGTCGTCTTCTCCTTCGCTGATCCTCCATTACCAAGCATGATACCCTTTTCCAAAGAATAATAGCCTTGCCTAGTTATATGTCCAAAGCATGAGAGATGAAGCTTTACCATCTTAGTCTCCAAGGAGCACTCTGGTTGTACTTTCTCAAGACTTATTTGTTTTCTCTTTTGTCAGACTTCTCCAACTCAACAGCTCAAAGAGATCAATTCTTCTGTCATAAGCCAGTCTATTTTTTAAATTGTGTATTGAGTATAAATTTAAATTGAGGGGGTTTTTTTTATGTTGAGTATAGAGAAGAGCAATGAATATATCATGGACTGGTAGGGGAACAAACGGGTTCATCCTGGAGAGGGTGAAACCAGGCTGCTCCTTGGAGGCAAGGATTTTGAAGCTCCATCTGAAATACTTCGGGCATGTTGCAAGACGGGCCAGTCCTTGGAGAGGGACATCATGCTTGGGAGAAGAGAGGGAGAGTACAAGAGAGGAAGACCCTGGATGAAATGGATTGAGTCAGTGACTAGGATAAAGAGGTTAGGTGTGTCACTAGGATAAAGAGGTTAGGTGTGTCAGAGACAATAAGATTGGCTCTGGATAGTGTAGGCTTCAGAACTGAAGTATATATGACCGTTATGAGTTGCAAGCAACTCAATGGCACATAAAAACAACAACTAAAAAGTACTGACACATTTCACTAAGAGACATTCAGACTTGGTTTCATAATGTATATTAAAAACCACTAATTACACACTGCAATTCTGAGGCAGAAGAAATCATAGTACACCAGAAGAAATGAAAAAGCCAATGGTGACTAGAGCACAGAAAGCAATTCTTATGGCATAATGTATGTAAGGTAGAGAGGAGAAGGGGCCTAGTAGACCAGGTTAAGAATTCTGGATTTTATCTTAAGAGCAGTGCTTTCAAACAAAAACATATCAGAAGTGGATTTTGATACCAGATTTTAGGTGTATATATGTTTGTTTTACTCCAGAAGCAACATATAAACTGAAAGGAAACAAGAATAGACAATAGGAGCTACTTTTAGGGGAGTTACTAACAGTATAAGGCTACAATACAATGCTGGAAAGTAAAGCAAAGCAATGGAGGTAGAGAGAAACGATCACATGAAGAAACACAAAGAAAATTCAGTAAGTCTTAGTAATGAAAGGGTTGTTGAAGGTGAATGAAAAGGCATGTGGTCAGGCACATCTGACGGCCTGAAATTAAAAAGATGGACCTAAATGTGAAAGAGGAGATACTAGGAGGGGCAGGTTAGGGAAAGAAGTTCAGAAATGTAAAATGTGAAGGCTCTAAGTAAAGAATCAATTACTTACTCATTTAAGAAAAATTATTGCCAAGCACTGTTCTAGGTACTATCTATACAGAAAAGAGGATAAATACTCTTATGGAGCTTATCGTGTAGACGAAGCATTTGGAAATAGAGATCCGGAATTTAGAGATGTCGAGGCTAGAAATAAAAATCTGAGACTTGCTGGTGGTGGTGGTGGTGGTGGTGACGTGCCATCCAGTTGCTTGCAACTCATAGTGACCTTATACAAGGTTGCTCTAAACTGTACTCTATCCTGAGCCAATCTTACTGTCTCTGATACCCCTACCCTCATGTTTATGTTTTGTCTTATCAGGTCGACCACAACTCATAGCAACCGTATGAAGAACAGAGCAGAGCTCTGCCCTATATTGTGTCACCCTCCTGATCTCTGCCAAACCCACTGTTCTAGCTACTGGGTCAATCTATCTCATTGCTGGTCTTCCTCTCTTTCTTTAACCCTCCACTTTCCCCAGCATAATTGTCTTTTTTCCAAGGATTGGCCCGTCCTGATAATATGACCAAAGTACGTGAGATGAACTTTAACTATCCTTGCCTCCATGAAGTACCCTGGTTCTTCTTCTTCAGAGACTGATTTGTCTGTCCTTGAGGCAGACGATAGGACATTCTGTACTCTTCATCAACACCACAGTTTAAAGGCATAGATTCTTCTTCTGTCATCTTTATTCACTGCCCAACTTTCAAAGATGCATAGGAACCAACTGAAAACATACCAACAAACATGGTGCATAGGAAGAACTGAAAAAGCCAGTGTGACTTGAACAAAGAACACAGAAAGTCAGATTTTGCAAAAAGAATGGCATGAAATGAGGTGGTCAGTCTGTCATACTGTGGTGACTTACATGCTACTGTGATATTGGAAGGTATGGTATGCCACTAGTATTTCAAATACCACCAGGATTACCTAGGGTGGAGAGATTTCGGCAGAACTTCTTGACTATTTCTTCTCTAAGATCAACTGCTGACCAGACCAGACTAAGAAGTAGGACAGCCATCCACTTCAGAAACAATGAGCCATTGAAAATCTTATGAATACTAACGCAGCACTGTTTGACACAGTCTCAGAATATGAGGCTTTCAGGTTGGAAAGCACTGAAAATACAACCAGCAAAGCTGCCTCAACCCTATTTAGTTAAAAACTTCGATCCAATACACATCCAGTATGCATTTATCATAAGCATAGTACCAACTATGTTAATCCTAAAGATATGGGAAAAGTTTTCAGTTAATAAAGGACCTTCACTTGCTAATGTGACCACACTTAAAATCAGAAAAAGCAGCTATATTCATCCATAATATGAATCTATGATACTTGGAAGCTATTAAAAATAAAACACACAAATATCACCGTGGCATTGTTATTTGTTACGTGCTGTCGAGTTGCTTGCAACTCAAAGCGGCCCAGTGTACGACAGCCCTGAAACCTGCTCTATCCTGTGCCAACTTTACATTCTCTGATACGCCTACCCTCATTACCCCAGTCATTACATCAATCCATCTCACTGATGGTCTTTCTCTCTTTCTCTGTCTCTCCACCCTCCCAAGCATGATATCCCTCTCCAAGGACTGGTCCCTCCTTGGAACATGCCCAAAGTATGTCAGACAAAGCCTCAGAATCCTTGCTCCAAGAAGCAGCCTGGCTTCACCCTCTCTAGGATAAAACTGTTCTCCTGGCAGTCCATGGTATATTCAACATTCTTCTCATTAGAGATCTGAAATAGACTGACATTAGCCATGTTTAACTGAACAAATCATATGTTCTACTAAGTGAGAAATTACAAAATCTATCTTGAAGTTCAAACCTATCAGTGATAGAATAGTATCTGTATGTGTGCAAGGAAAACCAATTAATATGTCATTCAAATGTATATACCAACCACTAGGGGCAAAAATGAAGACCTTGAGAATTTCCATCAACTTCAATATCCTGAAATTGCTCAAACATGCAATGAAGATGCACCTATTCAATAATAATTAATAATAACTCATGACTGGAATGTAAAAATTGAAAACAAGGAACAAAGATTGGTGGTTGGAAAATAATGCATTGTTGATACAAACCAGGCCAGGATCACATGATAGAATTGTGTATGAGCAACAGCTTACTGCAATATACAACTGTCTGTCAGGTGGAATATAGGACTCAAATGGACTACATCTACAGAAAGAGATGGTGAAGAGGCTCAGTAACATTCACAATAGACCAGGAGCCAACTGTGGAACAGATAATCAGCTATTATATGCAAACCCAAACTGAAAATTAAAATAATTAAACAAGTTCATCAGATCCAAAATACAATTTTTATTATATCTGACCTAAACTTAGAGACTATAAAGATCTAATGCAGTGATTAATAATAATTAAAGATGAAATGGGTTGTGGGTCATCAAGGACGTTATACATGAAGAGAATATAAAGTCATTAAAAAGATGGGGGAACTAATGTAAACTAGAAAAAGACTCTGAAACTTGTTCTAGAATATAGTAAAGCAAAAGTTAAAGGAAGATGGCTCAAAAAGATAAACTATTATAATGAAGTACACAATAGTCTGAAGTTAGAAAACCAAAACAAAAGAACATGTTCAAATACAGCAGCAATTGTGAAGATGATGCAGCATCAAGCAATATTTCATTCTGTTGTAAAATTCCTTAAGAGTCAAAGCTGAGGCACACCCATGTTTACTGCTGCATTTATTCACAACAGCAAAGAGATGAAAGCAACCCAAGTGCCATCAATAAACAAATGGATAGAAAAGCTATGGTATATCCATACAATGGAATACTACACAGCATTGAAAAACACTGCTATAAACAGTAAAACATAACAACATGGGGGAGCCTTGAGAACATTATGCTAAGTGAAATATCTCAGTCACAAAAGGATAAATACTGCATAACACCATTGTTACAAAAAAATGTTACAAACATGAGCTCTCCATTAGAACAGATGAGGGGAAGAACTATCTGAAAGGAATATAAAATTATGCATTATATGTATGACAACAATCTGGAAAAAGGAAGAGGTGCACTGCGGGGCACGCTGGGGGAGAAGAGAAAAGGAAGAAAAGGAGCAACAATGAAAAAAAATTTAAACAAGAGTCAACAGCACCTAAAAAAAG